GAGAGAGAGAGAGAGAGAGAGAGAGAGAGAGAGAGAGAGAGAGAGAGAGAGAGAGAGAGAGAGAGAGAGAGATCCCACCGAGGCCGGCGGCGAACGCGACGACGACGGTTCTGGCGACGGCGTCGGCGGCGCGACCAAGGGGAGCGGCCAACTCTCCGGGAGGGCACGCGGCGCAGCGGCGGCGGACGCCACGCACACACGCTCGTACGTACGGAGGCACCCATACGTACGGCCCGTACGCCTAAGCGGGCCGGTGGTCGGGCCGTGCTCGCGGACAGGGTTTTCGAGTGTCGGGCCCGTTTGGGGGGGGGGKGAAGGGGGACAGGCCTGGGCAGGACGGGCTTTGGCGCTGTCCACTGAGCTCCGCTCCGGCATCTGTGGGCGGTGGGCTACCTGCAAGGCTACAATGGCGCCCAAGAAAGGGAGGGGAGATCAGCCATTCGTTCCGGTCAGTAAAGACGAGCAGAAGGAGGCGGAGCTGAAGTTTTGCGGCTTTAACTGGGTTGCCAAGGGGCAGACGATGCCGAATTCGAATGGCACTTTCCTCATGGAGTGCAAGTTGTGTCGTCAGGGTTTTCAGGGGAGCCAGACGAAAGCCGCACAACACTTCACGATAAAAAACAATTGCGCCAAAATCTTCGTGGAGCAGATGGCGGAGATATGGAACAAGACAAAGTACGGGTTCGATCCAAGCCATGCACAGAAGATCGTGGACTTTCTGAAGTCTCGTGAGTTGCGAGACAACAGATGTGGATCGGGGAGGGAGCCAGCGGGGAATGAGGAGTTTGAGAACAGCGAGGAGGAGAGGAGGGCGGTCGAGGGTGGAGATGATTATGGTGAGAGTGATGCAGAGGATATGGAGGTGCGGCGAGCGGTGGAGCGTGCCAGGGGAAAGTTGAGGAAGGAGAAGGCCATTGACGAGGACAACACCCCTGACGAGGACACGGACGACGACGATGACGATGAGGGAGCAGACCTTGGGGCCTCTCCGGATGGGGGGTTGATGGGCGATGGCCGTCGTGGCCAAGAGGGGGCAGCTAGGGCGATGAAGGAGGCTGCGGGACCGAAGAAGAGAAAAAGGAAGGCGAAGATGACTACCACTGAGGCGAGATCAGCACCTTCTCAGCCCAAAAAGAGCAGAGTTCTTCGACAGACGTCCATGCTGGAGACCTTCGATCCAGTGTGGCAACGAGAATTCTCGGACTCCGTCCATGCTGGAGAGTTCTCTGGGGCCCAACCGTTGCGAGTACTCCATCCTCTTGGTATTGATCGATCATTTCTCGAAGTATATCGAAGTCTAGCCGTGTAAAACCCGAAAGGCTGCAGAAATAGCCATATACATTGATCCGTTTCTCTACACTCACCTAGATACGGAAGAAATTCTAACCGACAATGAGTCCGAGTTCAAAGGTGAGGTAGAGGAATTACTCGCACGAAGAGGCATTACGCTTCGACATACAGCACCCCACGTTTCCCAGTCCAACGGGTTGGCCGAAAATGCCAATCGCATGATTAAGACTGCCCTCCGAAGAAATTTAGCGGCGCGTGACACACGTCCCTGGCCCGAGATCGTATATCAGATCGTCGGAATTCACCGGGCCACCTCCCATGAATCCATGGGGTTCATCCCCTTCCAGCTTCGAACCAATAGCCTCCCCTGTGTCGATTACCAAGGCAACTCGGAAATTGCCAAAGCAGGGGGTAGAGACACGCGTGCCGCCCTTAAGGCCAAGGCCAAAAGGTATGCTGATTTAATGGAGAGGGTCGTGCCTAAATTGGCCCGGAAGAGACAAAAAATGACCGAACTGGCCTACGGTAGACAGGTCCGTAGCTACGAGGCTCGGAATGGAAATGCGGGCCCACAACACCAATATAAGTTAGGGGACCTGGTGCAAGTACACAAATGTGCACGCGACCGTAAACTCACTCCCAAGTTTTCTGGTTGTTTCCGCGTCGTCGAACTCGGTCCCGACGGTGCCAACACGGTGTCAAGCGGCCACAAGCAGTGCGCCGCCTGAAATCTACGGTTTAGGGACTTAGGCTCAAAGACAAGTCCGTGCAATGACGGTACTCTGGTTTGACCATGCAACAAAAATTAGGGGCACCCCGAGTATCCCTAAGATTAGATATGACGACCGTTGAGACTAACTCTCGAAATTGATAAGAAGGACTACATTACCGCGGCGGCGTCTATCTCAATACCGGCGACTTTAGCTTGTTTCCGGAACGGCTGCCTGCTAAACAGCAAGATGGAGATGGG